TGGCGAAATTTGGGAAAAGTATTTTTGCAAGTTATCTCTGCATAGAGACATTTGCATGCGATACCTTTAACGCCAATCGATAGCCCTCGAGGAGTAGATATCGATGGATGTTGAGATCATCAAAATTGGACACTGGATGGCCGAGATATGGGCCTCTGAAATTTGGCCCATTTCTTAGAACTTTTCTCGAAATCCCATACATCAGGCAAGAACGAGCCAAAACTTGCCGCTCGATTTTTGAACACCACATGAGGATTTTGATAAAATGTATAGGATTTCGAGAAAAGTTCTAAGAAATGGGCCAAATTTCAGAGGCCCATATCTCGGCCATCCAGTGTCCAATTTTGATGATCTCAACATCCATCGATATCTACTCCTCGAGATCTATCGATTGGCGCTCAAGGTATCGCATGCAAATCGCTCCATGCAGAGATAACTTGCAAAAACACTTTTCCCAAATTTCGCCAAAAACTTCTCGGGCCTGTATCTCGACCCCCCTTCATTTTAGTGGCCCAGGACCTTCCTCCGGAAGAAATTTAGGTCGAGGGCTACCAAATGACATATCGCATGTCAAAAATGATGCTATCTGCAATTTTAGGCAGCTCCTCGAAATCTCGGCGACAGGACTTACCTTCCAACCTGATAAATAGCAAATTCCCTCGCTTGTCCGTCCCTTTAAAAACGGACCTAGGATGATCATCTTCGCAGAAGAAGCTTCTTCTTTTGTCTTTCCGGCTTCCGGTCTCCGATCCGGGACCAGGTCGCGATAAGCAATATTTGGACGGTAGTAGTTCCATCTTAAAACTTAGCTCTGAAATAGAGGTTTTTTGCATTTTTGAAATTTTGAAGTTTCATAATGCCGAAATGTACTGAGTGAATCTGATGAAAAGTTTCACAACATCCCAATTTCGTCATCAAATTTATCGCGAAACCCGAATAATTTTACGCGAAACGTTTTGAGGTATTGAAATATCGGCATTATGAAATTTCGACAAACTGAAATTGCGGAGACTTGGGTTTCGAAATCAAAATTTTCGACGTTTTGAAACCCCTAACCTCAACTTGTCGTTTTCCGGCACCGAATGATATCCGGGAAGTTGAACCACATCCGTGTCCGCCGTCCCCATATGGTAGTAGATGATCAACAGGCCGACGAAGATCAGCAGCAGCCCGCCGGCGATGTACACATGGCGTCGATAGGTGCGCAAACCGGGGTGAATGTTCGGCGTAGCCATTGGCAGCGGCTCGTATCCCTGAAAATTACATTAAATTTGCATACAAGACCAATTTACATACACTAGTTGCCCACCACATCATGGCAGAAAAATGGGGCGTAGAATTGCGAATGAATTTGGGCTTGTTTCACCAGGAATATGCGTAATTTGGGATGCGAAACACGTGAATATGCAAAACCTTTAGGTCAAATTTTTCCGGATCTGCTTAAAAATCCATTTTTCTAGAGCAACCGGATCATTTTCGTGTACTATCGAGCCCTGTAATGCAAGGAAAACGAACATTTTTCCAATAATCTTACCTAAGTTTATTTCTCCGCGCACTTTTCCTTGGTAATGCATTTCGCTTCTCTACGCTCTCGATGAGGGATATAACGTCAGAAATCATTGTTAATCATATCAATTAGAACGTGGTTTTTGTGTTTTTTGAAAGGTCCGATCTTCCGATAACTCCCCACGAGTTATAAACAAACCGCTTCTCTGGCTTCCGTGGCGTTCCCCGAAAGGGGAGCGATTCCAGGGAAAAGGACACTCGGGCACGCCCATTCAAATGCTCTTGCCCGGTTCCAAAACTACTATTAAAGTTCCAAATCTTAATGGCTCATCGGATTTTCTAACGCTCTCAACCCCGCTTTGACCTAGCTTACTTCTCCTCAGTTAGAATGTTTTTTATATAGTCTGAATGTAATCGAGTTCTCTTAAAGCGCACGTTCAGGGAGGGGCCGTGCACTCGTCCCAACGTGTACACCCTCTGGACGTAGGGACCGCGCGCACTGCCTGCCCGTTCTGTGACAGGCCATTCCGCTCCTTTGCGGGGTGGGGCACCCCTCGGCCCCTCGCCAGGTTGTAGCTGTGGCTGACTGGTATCCATCCGCGCCTCCCGAGCGGGGGGGCCCGGGTTCGACCCCCGGGCGCGGCAAAAATCTTTGCTTTTTTCCCAAAAACGTCCCTGAACGTGCCCTTTAAAGGTACACTAACGTCTCGTTGGTTTGGTTACCGGCCGGTAACCGTCCGCGGGATAGCAAACAGGGTTACGGTAGGCGCTCGCCGCGGAGCAAAACCGAACCCGGACCACTCGCCTGGGGCAAGCGCCATAGACCAATAGGCCATGGGAGAGACAAGGGAGGGGAGGCGGAGAGGGGATATGAAGGGTCGGTCCATCTAACGACAAAGGGACCAAATTCCCGACCACGAACTACTTTTTAAGCGAGATTTTAGTGTACCTTTAAGCAAAATTCCGGGAAATTTCTATAAGAAAATTCTATAACCAAGCTTTGAAATCTTTTTTTTGAGCAGCGTAATCGTGCCGCCTTGCCTTAAATGATGCCTGTTATGTCCTTATTTCATGCCTTTTCCTAGTGACACAGTTATCCGCAAACAATCCTTTATTATAGATTTTGCAGCTCATAGATGCATGTGCCATACATAATACCGTTTCTCTTCATTTATACCGTCTCTGGATTCTGCCCCGGGGCTTCGGATTGGGACCCGTCGGGTACAAAGTGTTACCATGTGACCCCGATGAAGATGACGTGGCAGCAGGCGATGGATTATTGTAACAAGTTGGTTTCTCTAAACAATTTTTTCACGGTGGCAGAGAAGCCCCTGGGGCGAATGTTGAACGTTTATGAACTTTAGCCTCGGCATGACTGGGGCTTCAATTCTCCAAGCCGATGAAAGTCACGCTTTGGTAAGACAGGCACGCAGAAAAATTGAGGTACGTAACATTTATCAAAAACGTTTATTCGGAATTTAGGACTCCACAGAATGGGTCTGGTTGGGAGGATATTATAATGGTAGTCACGTGGAATGGAACGACGGTTCAGAAGCTACTGCATACAGCTTTGGGAAACGTAAGATTTCTCTAAACGACTCCAGATTCGCACTTTTCTTCAGGTTATCAAATGCCTGGCTACCTGGCGATAAGTCTGAAGGACCAGAGTTGGCATACCGATCGTAAGGCGACGTACGCGGCGGCTTGCGTGGGATATCGTGAGGTAGTTTAATTGCAGTAATACAGAACGTTCTGAGTAACACAAAAAATTCTTGCGCCGATAATTGGCTACGGTAACGATAACAGTTTTTATATTTTTAGGAGGACTTTTGCATCTCCGGCCGTCCCATTCCACCCTGCGACCCGGAATGGATGTATTCCCCAGATACCACGGGATGCTATAAGGTTTTTCTAACGCAAAGACTAGAAATTGACAATATTTAGCTGATCGGCACGTTTGATGGCTTCACCTGGCCCGAGGCGCGGAATCAATGCCTCGCTTTAGGAGCCGAGCTAACTTCAATTCATTCTGATGAGGAGAATCGGATCGTTACAGGTATTAGGCGTACTTTTAAGCTTCTTAGGGGGCCAGAGCACTGCGATAGTTTGTTCTGGCAGCGATTTGGTATCAAAAGCGGGAGGGTGAGCCATGCGCGGAGATCATAGTTTATACGCCGAGTTCTAGCCAGCATCTACACGCTGCTTTTTGCGTTGTGATTTACTTCTGGTTCCTAAAAACCGGTACATACAACTCTTCTGACCTTCAACCGGGCGTACTGTCACTTTCCCCTTAATTTCTAGAACTTGCCGATACATACGTGCATGGGCGACAGGGCAACTATTACAAGCTGGACCAAGCTGGAACGTGGATTGGTGGGAAGCGGGTCGGTCCTTAGAAGATTTAGAAAATTTAAGAAAGCAAGAAGGCCTTGCTTCGGTTCAACAGCCTATTAATGCTTCGCCACCCATTTTCAGATGGGGCCCGGAAAGAAGGACTTTGCCTGGACCGATGGTAGCCGATTCGAATACGCAAGGTGGGCCAGTGGCCAGCCCGACAATCACCGAAATGCGCAGTATATTCAGGTGTGTAGCGCTTGATCTTGGTTTTCTTGATTAGCTGCGGTGCCAGACACGTTGCGGCCACGTCGCGTATCGAGCTTATCGTGAACTAGTAAAGAGAATGACTCAAATTGTTTTCCAGATCTACACAACCCGTCTGGAGGAATACAGCAATGACGACAAGTTATACCTGAACAAATGGGACGACATTTGGACGAGTGCCAAGGGATATAATGCTGTCTGCAAAAAGAAGGCGCGATATTGAGGAAAACTTTGTAATAAATTTGCATAAAATTTGACGGATAAGGCTGAGAGCGTACACTTGTTCTTGACCAGGATCAGGATAACACTCCGAAAACAAAGCTAATCAGCCTCCTCGGTTCTAATTGTGTGCAAATTTTGATAAAAAATTACTTCGGGTTTATTCGCCTGTCCGAAAAGTCGCCTGTCCGAAAAACACTTGTCCGAAAAACTAATGTCCGAAACAGCTAATCAAAACCCTTTTCATCCGCCGCCTCCTGGTGCGTTCGGAAATCACATAATATCAGAATTCTCCAGGTTTCCAGAACGGCAGCTCAGCAGCTGCAAAAAATCAGGGGGGCCGGGCTGATGTACGTCTGGCAAAACAGGTAAATTCCGATTTTCAGATCGATCGTTCTATTTTTCTGGAAATCAATTTAGATGCTAGTAAACCATGGCTCTGCCTTCATCCTCTCCGTGCCAACAATATACTATTTTTGCCTGATACCAACCGCGCTGACCGGTCAAGCCGGACTCGGCGACGGCGCATCTGGCATCCTACTATATATAAAAAAATGGTGTTTGTGTGTGTGTGCGTGTGTGTTCATTTGCATGCAACTTCCGTCCGTATGTTCCAGTCGTATCTCAATAAAGGAAGTAGTTAAGGGTATGCCTGATACGTCATTAGGAGCGTAATGGTCATGACACGACTGCACACCCAGCAGATTTTTGAAAAACAGCTGTTTTCGATATTAAAATTGGTTTTTGTGCAAATCACGCCCGACCTCTTTGTTAGGAATCAATTAGCATACGCCGGAAGTGAAAAGAGTCCATATAAAGGCGGGATGGCGAGTGATTTTCATTTTTTGTTCAGGGCAGGCGACCGTGATTATGCAGTTGGGCCATCATGGGGCCTAGACGGGGCCAGGGTTGAAAAGTCGCGAAGCGGCTTTTCAACCCTGGTTATTTATTATTTAATTATCCAATAATATTTTTCGATTTTGCGAAATTCTTTAAAATAGCTGTTTTATGAGCATTTTTCCAAAAACTCCTTAACAAAATGGGCCATGAGCCGCGGTGTCCGGGCTATAACCCAATTCACATGGCGAATTTGGACCTGTATTTTTGACCACTTATGTGTTCAATGTTGAGGATCACGCGCATGATATTATCTTTACAAAATTCGGCCAGCTTCCACCTAAAAAGTTTAATTTTGTAAAGTGGCCTGAAGGCGTGCATGTTGGAGGTCCTGGGGGCTGCCCATTCCTTTTAGCACAGCTTGGTTCGGTTCCCCCAGATCAGAAGAGACCTCTCCCGCTGTCCGGTCCCATCTCCCCTTTGGTGTGATGTAACAAGCGCCAATTCAGCTTTAGAATCTGAAAACCCAGGCACCGATGCCCTTGATTCCATGACGGTTTATCAAAATCGACCTATGCAAACAAATCATTCTCATTGCAGTGCTCGATAAAAACTCGAAAGAGTCGTAGCAATTGTGCTCTAAATTTTCTTAGTTCAAAGATCAGAAATCACGGACCCTTCGCAAGATGAGCCGCTTGATGGAAAATATGGATTCAGAAGGCTCTCCTTCCGGCTTAACCCTTTTCTTCTTGAAAAAGTAGATCGCGATGCAGCTGAAAAGGTTTTTCGGTTTGCTCAAAACAGCTGGAAAGGTGCTAAATTTATTTTTTACATGAATTTAATTTTTCCAGCTTACCCCGAGATGAAATTGGCAAGAATCGGAACATGGACCGTGCCAACCGTATACCATACAGAGCGCAGAAAAATGATGGCAGATGCGCCGTCGCCGAATCCGGCTCGCCCGATCAGCGCGGTTGGTATCAGGCAAAAATAGTATATTGTTGGCACGGAGAGGATGAAGGCAGAGCCATGGTTTACTAGCATCTAAATTGATTTCCAGAAAAATAGAATGATCGATCTGAAAATCGGAAATTACCTGTTTTGCCAGACGTACATCAGCCCGGCCTGCCTGGTTTTTTTTGGAGCTGCTGAGCTGCCGCTCTAAGAAATCAGAGAAATCTAATATTATGTGCTTTCCGAACGCACCAGGTGGCGGCGGATCTTAACGTATGTGCAGACATCAAAAATCGCCGAAATTATGGTGCATAAAATATGAAATATTCGCAAGGCATATTCCATATCAACTGAAAAGATGCCGAAAAGGCTCTTGCTGTTCAGCTGAATGGAATGTAGGTAGGGGTGGAAAATCAGTCTGTCGTACGGCAAGCTTTTGTAAACGCCTGGAAAATTGAGTTTTGTACAGGGTGTCCTAATAAAAAAACACACTACCCCCTCTCTAATTCGCTCACAAGGGAAGTGCACGACCGGCCCACGAGAAATCGACACGATACATAGTGGATCTGATAGAATCGGACACGGGGATTCCGAATCTGTAATCAGAATTTGCTAAATAAAACGGAGAAAAAAGTTATGAAGCTTCAAAGTTGGCCAAATCGCCAAAAACCGTACCTTTAAGGGCCCGTAAAAACCGGTGGAACGGAATTGAGGAGAAAAGAATTAATGCAGCTTGTTCAGCAGAAAAAGCGCTTTCGAATGAGCTGTAATACGTAGCATTTGCAAACAATTCACTGAAAAAACTTTTTTTGGATTCTCGGGCAAGGGTATGGCCTGTCAAGTTCATGGAAGAGATTTTCGCGAAATCATCGTAAACTTGAAGTAAGATAGCTCATTCGAAAGCGCTTTTTCTGCTGAACAAGATGCACTAATGGGTTGTGGCAAATTTCCATTCCCTGGGCCTTTACAGGCCCATAAAAGTCCGATTTTGGGCGATTTTGCCAACTTTGAAGCTTCATAACTTTTTTCTCCGTTTTATTTAGCAAATTCTGATCACAGATTCGGAATCCCCGTATCCGATTCTATCAGATCCACTATGTCGCGTGTCGATTTCTCGTGGGCCGGTCGTGCACTTCCCTTGTCAGTTTGCTAGAATAAATTGACGCAAATTATCTGGTAAGCACCCCAAAAAACCCCAAAATTTTACAAAATGGCTTCTCAAAAAAGCCGGC